ACAACGCGAAATTTTATTTAATAACAGTATATTCAAATTTGCATCTATAGACCAGTAACGACAGCTCGAGATTCACTCGACAGTCGTTTTCTAATAGCTGTGAATAACTTGTTTATTCCGCAAATTCGGCATGATAATATCGAACAACAAAACTGAAAAAGAAGATATTTTTTTGTGAAGAAAAGAAAGAACAAATAGTTTAGCAAACAATAAAAGAATATTTTTACTAGAAATTTGAAAAAGTTATCCTGTTGTATACAGTAGAAGGATAACCAAAACACACAAATGTTTACAAGTATCGCAAAGGCTCGTGTATTTCGCTTTTCTCAACATATGTTATTTTATTTTTATTCATATATCTAATTTTACATATATGATATACCATAAATGGAATGCCTTATTTTTTTTAAGTCAGTTCGAAAGGGTATTAATTTCAAAGTAAAAAAATATTAAACATTGTTTATCTTAAAGCTAATTAATGTTTTATTTACGGACTAAGCGATATTTGCATTAATTAAATAATAGTTAAATTAAAAAATACGTATAACTGAATAAAAAAGAAAATACTCATTGACTTAGAGAGGTTGAGTATCAGCGAAAATGGAGTATTAATGTTTAATGCAATATATTTGACAATCGAATAATTGAATAATATTTTATTGATGGATTATTAACAGGACAGAAATATTCAACAATTTTATTAGAAAATGTATCACTAAATGTCTGTTCATTAAGGGGGTATTCTGGTCTAAAAATTAGAAAAAATCGATTTTTTTTTAAATATATTTTTAAAGCTTAACCTTTTAAGAATATGTTCTTAAGAGGATTTATCAAAATTATTTTCGGAGATATAGCTGTTTTAGTGACGCGGTATCCTGCATCCTACCCTTATTACGCGAAACTTTGAACGCGTTTTTCTCGAAACTACTTTTTTTGAGGTGGTTGACTTGATATCTCAAGTTCTACTCGACCGATTCCTTTGAAATTTGGTGGGAATCTTCTTTATACATCTCTCTATCGGGTGACCCTTGGATTTTGAAAAATTTTAATTTTTAATATTTTAAAAAAATTCGAGAAAGTCAAAAAAAGGGGCCAACAACAATTTTTTGTTCATATCGACGCCATTTTCTGAATTTTTTTTTTTTGGCTAAGGGTCACCCAATAGCAACATCTTTACTGATTAAGAATTTTCCAAATTTTTGTGTTTCAAATCACTACAAGGGTTGGAATCATGTCAACCAGAGTGCACCGATTTTTTGTAGCCCCCACTTCACCGGCCTGTATTTCTACGAATTTTTTTTCACGATTTTTTTTGTATTCTTAAAATGTTAATAAACATCATATAAAAAAATGGGTAGTAAAAATGTTTTTCATTTTTTTTTTATCTTAGTTTGAAAAATGCCTAAAATTTAGGCTTCTAGACCAGAATACCCCCTTAATATGGTATTAACATGACAGTTGACCTGCATATTGTGCACGGCAGATAAGGGAAATTATATAAGAAAATTTCCTAATCGGTTGATTGATTAATCGTGGCAGAGTATTTTTATAATTACTTCGTTCGCCAAATTTGGAATATAAAAGAACGAAATTAAAAATGACACTTTTTCATTAATTAATAGGTTACAATATTGTATTCATATTAATAAACACCATTTCAGGCATCTAATATAAGTTTCTTATATAATAAAAATTAAAATGTTTATTATAAACAATTGTAGTTCTTCTTCCACTTTAATTATCTTATTCATCAGCAACTTTATTACAAAAATCGTTGACTATTATATTGAAGCATTTCATTTACTTGGAAATTAATATGCTCTTCCGAACTGTCATAAAAAATAAGGAGAGCATTTATAGAAAAGACCATCGAGTCTCCTAAATACTGCACTTATTAAAAAGTCATGTAAAACACATTATGTCCTTCTCGATATCATACAATTCCTATGGAAATAATTTTTTGTTTAATGTACAATTTATAAGTCATTCGAAATAATCAAGTTAAACGCCTCATTATATCACCTAAATATCTCTTTTGTTTACAATTGTATTAAAAAACTTCGACAAAAAAAGTTGCACTATAGTCGGGATAGTATTTAATGATTGAAAGAATTTTTTGTTAAAGTCATTTATTTTACAATTTGAAGCTCAAATTTGTATTTTTAAATTAAACAATATATTTTCTTTTCGATATTCATAAAAATATATGCTCTATAAAGAGCATGATAAAACAAATAAAAACGATCTGTATGACAATATCATTCTAATCATTTATACTCAAAATATTTACATCTAAATATAATTACTCTGTTCATTTCTCGAATATCCGTTATTACCGTGATAATAGAGCATATCAATGAACAATAAGATGTGTACATTTTTCAGCGATACGAAAATTATACCTTTGTATGCTATTCTGATGATAGGGCTATAAACAGACAATAAGATGTGTACGGCTTTGAGCGATACGAAGATTATAACTTTGTATTGACGCAAATCGTCACAATTTCGAATATCATTTGTAATGTAAGAACGTTTATTTTACTACCACACATTAGTCTTTGAATGACCTTCACTAAATTTCGCTGAAACCGTCTTAACGCCGATTATCGCAAAGCGGTAATAAAAATAGATCATCACATTTAAAAATATGAAAATGATTTTGAAATTTTTTCTACTCTTCCACCTACGCAAAAGAAATAGGCATATCAATATGCCCCCCTCTATACCGTACAAATTCTATACCACACACACACACACACACACACACTTTCATATTATTACAAATAACAGAGATATTCAAGGTGAACAGAGTAATTATGTTTAGATGTTAATATCTCGAGAATAAATGATCAGAATGATATATGGTCATGCAAATCATTTTTATTCGATTTTTCATGCTCTATAAGAATATATATATATAGTTTCATTTAAAAAAACAAAGTTAACCATCAAATTTCAAAACAATTACCTTGACAAAAAATTCTTCCTTCTTGCAGTAGTGCAATTTTTTCTTTTAAAGTTTTTGTATACTATTGTAAAAAAAGAAGAAATTTAGGTGATACAGTTAAGCGCCTCATCCTGTGTATATTAATTGTATAAATATTAGATACATATTTTATATCTATTCACAAATGATCATATCAAGATCATTGATCTAGTATAAATCGATTTTACATATCTTTATGTATAAATTGCATGAGTTTATAAACAACAACAATGAAATAATCGTTTGAAAATAGTAATATTATTATATTTACGTAATTAATTTTTTGTTTGTTGTTCATTTAAGGTTAGTATGCATGTATTATGCGTTTTTTTCTATGTTTAAACTTTTCTAAGGCATTACATACAAACAACGAATAGTTTCATCTCATCAAACGAGATCGTATTGATTAAAAACTAGTTATTAATAAATTTTTTGTATGCTAATAAAAACTATCAAATGTAAATGAAGATGTTTATCGAGTAAGTATAAGTTAAAAAGAAACAATTCATTAAATCTAACGTATCGGTAACAGAATGTTTGTCGAAACAAATCGAAGAAATTTATTTGAAATACCTATAAGATGTACTTCACTGTCATAGTAAAAATTGGATTGATTACTCGATAAAATTTTCAAAATTAAAATGTGCTTTTCTTTAATGTTAACGAATACGTTTCAGAGCAATATTAATATAGATGATCAAATTGTCAAAAAATTTCTGTTAAAATTTTTTTGATAGTAAAAATTTGCATTGTGAAAAAAGGAATTTTATATTAACATACTCGTCGCACCTTCATTTTTATGTATCTAGAAATATCTTTTCTATATCATCAGTAATTTTATATTGGTATTTTAGCGATTGTGACTAAATTTTAAATAATACTGTATTATTTCCAAAAAATGTATAATTAAATTTAAAACACATCTTTGGTATTTTTGAAATTATCACACAATCTGAAGCTGTGTTCTAATCTAATGATCAATAGAAAATATAAAATATTTCAATTAGAGAAAACGGATCAACGCATTGACGGAGAGATCCGTGAAAAAAGGGGAGAATTTCCTGGAAGCGTTCCTTCACGGTATCTGGACACGTACTTCGCAATACTCTTGTATCTCGACTACCTTCACCCACGCGTCTCAGTCACCGTTCTTCCCTCGAACTCGCTTTTACCGGATCGGTTTATCTTTTCTATCTTATATACAAAAAATAAAATAAAAGACAGATTTTTTGATCAAAACGCTAAGTAAACTTTTACTATTTTTTAGCAACGTTTAGTAATATTTTTAAAAAGAAATATCAAGTGTTTACATTGAGGAAAACAACAAACGAATTGTTTTTGTTACTTTACGTATTTATAACACGGATACGTGACACACGACAAAAGGTACTTATAAAAATTACTTTGCTTTGTTTTTCCTAGAGAAAAAGAAAAAAAAAGAAGAAATCGTTCTTTTTATTCATTTTAAATATATATTTACAATAAGGTATAATCATTAATTACCAATAACGCTTACTTTCTTTTTATCAGTTTATCACGATAAATTCAAATGAAAATTTATCTGGCAAGAATATACATAAGGGAGAGTGAGAGTGAGGGAGAGAGAAAGAGAAAAAGGAGAACTTTGAATTGTTGAAGAGGAATAAAAGGAGAAAAAAGATAGCATAGGAAGAAGAAGAAATCGCTTTCCCTCATAATCCTGATCGTTTGATCGAGATTATGCGCTATTACAATGACGACGACTTGCTTATTAGGGTAGGGAGATTA